TGGGACCTATTCAGGGAGGGCTGGGACCTTCTCAGGGAGGGCTGGGACCTAGTCAGGGAGGGCTGGGACCTAGTCAGGGAGGGCTGGGACCTACTCAGGGAGGGCTGAGACCTACTCAGGAGGGCTGAGACCTACTCAGGAGAGCTGAGACCTACTCCGGAGGGCTGAGACCTAGTCAGGAGGGCTGAGACCTACTCAGGGAGGGCTGGGACCTACTCAGGGAGGGCTGAGACCTACTCATGGAGGGCTGAGACCTAGTAAGGAGGGCTGGGACCTAGTCAGGGAGGGCTGAGACCTACTCAGGGAGGGCTGAGACCTACTCAGGAGGGCTGAGACCTACTCAGGAGGGCTGAGACCTACTCAGGAGGGCTGAGACCTACTCAGGAGGGCTGAGACCTAGTCAGGAGGGCTGAGACCTACTCAGGGAGGGCTGGGACCTACTCAGGGAGGGCTGAGACCTACTCAGGGAGGGCTGGGATCTACTCAGGGAGGGCTGAGACCTACTCAGGGAGGGCTGAGACCTACTCAGGGAGGGCTGGGACCTACTCAGGGAGGGCTGAGACCTATTCAGGGAGGGCTGAGACCTAGTCAGGAGGGCTGGGACCTAGTCAGGGAGGGCTGGGACCTACTCAGGGAGGGCTGAGACCTATTCAGGGAGGGCTGAGACCTAGTCAGGAGGGCTGGGACCTAGTCAGGGAGGGCTGGGACCTACTCAGGGAGGGCTGAGACCTAGTCAGGAGGGCTGGGACCTAGTCAGGGAGGGCTGGGACCTACTCAGGGAGGGCTGAGACCTACTCAGGGAGGGCTGGGACCTACTCAGGGAGGGCTGAGACCTATTCAGGGAGGGCTGAGACCTAGTCAGGAGGGCTGGGACCTAGTCAGGGAGGGCTGGGACCTACTCAGGGAGGGCTGAGACCTAGTCAGGAGGGCTGGGACCTAGTCAGGAGGGCTGGGACCTACTCAGGGAGGGCTGGGACCTACTCAGGGAGGGCTGGGACCTAGTCAGGGAGGGCTGAGACCTACTCAGGGAGGGCTGGGACCTACTCAGGGAGGGCTGGGACCTACTCAGGGAGGGCTGGGACCTCCTCAGGGAGGGCTGGGGGAGAGAGAGGGAGAGAGAGGGAGAGAGAGATGGGGGAAGACGAGGCTGATTGAAGATAGCTTTAGTGAGTCAATACTGATATTTTGCTCATTTTAATCAATAGGCTATCTCACTGCAAGGAACCCTGTATCCTATACTCCCAGTCCCTGTAACACCCAGAGAGACATGACCACACATCATCACCACATCATCATCACACATCATCATCACACATCATCATATACATCACCACATCATCATATACATCACCACATCATCATATACATCACCACATCATCATAGACATCACCACATCATCATAGACATCACCACACCATCATAGACATCACCACATCATCATAGACATCACCACATCACCACATCACCACATCATCATAGACATCACCACATCATCATAGACATCACCACATCATCATAGACATCACCACACCATCATAGACATCACCACATCACCACATCATCATAGACATCACCACATCATCATAGACATCACCACATCATCATAGACATCACCACATCATCATAGACATCACCACATCACCACATCATCATAGACATCACCACATCATCATAGACATTACCACACCATCATAGACATCACCACATCACCACATCATCATAGACATTTGTATTTGTATTTATTAAGGATCCCCATTAGTTCTTGCCAAGGCAGCAGCCACCTTTCCTGGGGTCCAGCAAAATTAAGGCAGTTATACATTTTTAAAAATATTACAATACATTTTACAACATATTTCACAACATATTAAGTGCGTGCCCTCAGGCCCCTCCTCTACTACCACATTTCTACGACTCAACATCCATGTATACGTGTGTGTCGCCGTCCGTTCAACCCAGATGGGTTTATGTGTCTAGCTGGTCCTATCAGATATGATAACCATGACAACCGTAGTGGGTATATAATAGCTGTGACGTAATGTGGATCATACAAGGCTTGTGTGACCAAATCTATTCCCTTTAAAGTGCACTACTTTTGACTAGAGCCATATGGGGCTCTGGTTGAAAGTAGTGCTGTACAGGCTATAGGGAATAGGGTGCCATTTGGTACAGGCTATAGGGAATAGGGTGCCATTTGGTACAGGCTATAGGGAATAGGGTGCCATTTGGTACAGGCTATAGGGAATAGGGTGCCATTTGGTACGCAGCCAATGTGGATAACTCTTTGAGAGAGTGTCCTCTGTCACGGCCTGTGAAACTTAGCCCCTTCTAAAGGGCTTTGGGAGGATCTAATTGATTACAGAACGGTTGAATGCACAGATGTACTGTGACTGCATAAAAGTACTTTATTATGTGAAACAAATATAACTCAGATTGGAAGACTTTTTCACACAGGCAAACTGACACTAGGAAAGTGCCAACCCCATCCCCTGTATTTTCAGCTAATGGTTCATACTATTGAACATTGGATATTGGGAATGGGATATTGGGTATTGGGTATTGGGTATTTAAGCATAAGCCAGAGTGGGTGTGGTATATGGCCAATATACCATGGCTAAGGACTGCTCTAAGGCATGACACAACGTGGTAACTCCCTTAGCCGTGGGAAATTGACCATATATCACAAACCCCTGAGGTGCCTTATTGCTATTATAAACTGGTTACAAATTTAATTAGAACAGTAAAAATAAATGTTTTGTCATACCCGTGGTATATGGTCTGATATACCATGGCTGTCAGCCAATCAGCGTTCAGGGATCGACCCACCCAGTTTATAATGGGTATTGGGTATTGGATATTGGGTACTGGGCATTGGATATTGGGTATTGGGTATATAATATTGTTTTGTATTGGTTTGGGTATTGGTTAGGTATATTGGGTAATTTGGTATTAAGGTATGGATTTGCTATTGGTATTGGGTATGGTATGGGTGGGTATTGGGTATTGGTTTGTATTGGGTATATTGGGTAATTGTGGTATTGGATAGTGTTTTTATATTGGTATTGGTCTTGGTCTTGCTCTTGGCTTGGGTATTGGGTTTGGTTTGGCTCTTGGGTTTGGTTTGGGTTTTGGGTCTTGGGTCTTGGGTATTGGGTCTGGCATCTTGGCATCTTGGTTTGGGTTGCATTTGGCTTTGGGTTTGGGTTGGCTCTTGGGTCTTGGGTCTTTGGGTTTTATGGTTTGGTTTGGGTTTGGGTTGGTTTGGTATTTGGTTCGGTTTGGGTTTTGGGTTTGGTTCTGGTTTGGGTTTGGGTTGGGTTTGGTCTTGTTGGGTTTGGGTTTTTGATTGGGTCTTGGTTGGTTTGGTCTTTCTTGGTCTTGGTGTTTGGTCTTGCGTTTGGTCTTGGGTTTGGGTCTTGGGTTTGGTCTTGGGTCTTGGGTCTTGGGTCTTGGGTCTTGGTGTCTTGGTCTTGGGTCTTGGTTTGGTTTGGTCTTGGTTTTGGTTCTTGGTGTCTTGGGTTTGGTTTGTGTTTGGGTCTTGGGTCTTGGCTTTGGGTCTTGGGTTTGGGTTTGGGTTTGGTTTGGGCTTTGGGTCTTGGTCTTGGGTCTTTGGTCCGTCTTGGGTCTTGGGTTTGGCATCTTGGGTACGGATTTGGGTCTTGGGTCTTGGCTCATTGGGTCTGGTTGGGTTTGTGTTTGGTTCTTGGTACGGTTTGGGTTTGTGTCTTGGGTCTTGGGTTTGGGTCTTGGGTTTGGGTCATTGGGTTTGGTGTTTTGGGTCTTGGGTTTGGGTCTTGGGTATTGGGTTTGGGTATTGGGTATTGGGTTTTGGGTATTGGGTATTGGGTATTGGGTATTGGGATTTGGGTATTGGGTATTGCTATGTCTTTTGGGTGTCTGTCATTGGACATCAACAACTGTAACTGTATGACATAGGTCTGTTCCTGATGATGTATTCTCCACACAAATGGAAATAAAACACAAAACTGCATCCAGTGAAAGCTTTAATGTACGGTGCTATTTACAGCATGGTTTGAAATAACAAAACACAGAGGACTGTGCTTAGACTACGAACAGAACAGACGCTGCATAACAATGAAACAACCATATAAAAACAGCTGTTTCCTTCTCCTAACAGAGCTTTCTCATTAAGGAAATGTTCTCCTTATCTTGCTTTAAGAGTGTCCCCTCCGTCGCTTTGAAGAAGCTGGCCGTTCTAGATGCTTATCTGCAGATTTATTACAAAATGATAAACATGCTCCCAAAGACTCTCCTTACTGCATTACAATTAAAGTTGGAATAGAGTTTCAAGTGAATACTCTGTATGGAGCGAAGAGAGAGAGAGAGAGAGAGATAGAGAGAGAAGAGGAGAGTAGAGAGAGATAGAGAAGAGAGAGAGAGAGAGAGAGAGAGAGAGAAGAATATAGAAGTAGAGAGATAGCTATAGCGATGATAAGAGAGAGAAGAGAGCTCTCTCTCTCTCTTCCTCGCATATCTTCTATCTATCTTCTCTAGCTGCGCTCTAGAGAGAGAGATCTTCAGTCTATTATCTCAATGCTGATTTGTCCTCTGTTGTGTTTTCTCTTCTCATCACTGATTGGTCAGGATATAAAAGCAATATAGAATAAATTCAACTTAGCCCAGAAACTGATCCCACCTGCCCAGAAGCTGATTCCACCTGCCCAGTCTAGGAAAATGAAATGTTCAGTAAAAAGTCAATAAAAAAAAATCACTGATATGGAATATTCTAATATTTTTAGACAAAAGACAAAAAATAGGAAAACGCTATGTCTGGTGCAAACCCAACACCTCTCATCAAGTTGGTCCTCTGTAGCTCAGCTGGTAGAGCACGGCGCTTGTAACGCCAAGGTAGTGGGTTCGATCCCGGGACCACCCATACACAAAAAATGTATGCACGCATGACTGTAAGTCGCTTTGGATAAAAGCGTCTGCTAAAATGGCATATTATTATACTTGGAATTAGTCCCAAACGGCATCCACCCTATTCCCTATATAGGGCAGCATTTTAGTGGACTAGGTAGGGATCAGGGAGCCGGCAGCCAAGGTAGAAGAGGACTGTCCCAGCAGAGAGAGAGATCCCTCCTGTCCTATGATGTAGCGCCACACTGTCTGGCTGTAGAGTTGTCCTTGTTGTCCTCTGATCTACCTACCACAAATGGCCAAGTCTGTGGACAGACAAGAGAGACAGATTGAATAAATAGACATGCTATTTTAATAAATATTGCAACAACAAAAAAAAAAGGCAGCAGGAATAGGAATCATATTTTATTTACCATCAAGGTGTTATTATAGTATCTTAGCCTACATATTGAGTCACAATGTAGACTCATCAATGGTCTGACTCTCACCACCCCTTTCCACAAAAAGCAATGGATGCAACTTGCAAAAGTTGAAAAACGTGTATAGCTACATCATTTGTTTGTTGCATTTTCCTACACATTTTACAAAGCACTTAATTTTTTTTACATGCAATATAATTAGTTGCTCTGGATAAGAGCTTCTGCTAAATGACCAACACATAAATGTCAAATTATAAATGGACATTTGTGTCTTTCAATACCCAAGTTGACAGGGTCAAGTCGGCAGACAGACAGAGACATTATCTAGTAAATAATGCTTCATACCAGGTTGACAGGGTGTACGAAGCTGCTCTCGAAGACGTTGTCTTGTAATAGCTGTCGGAGGTGTGATATATAGCTGGCTGCTAGACGCAGCGTGTCCAGTTTGGACAGCTTGGTATCGACCGGTACCCACGGCAGGCTCGTTTTCAGTCTGGAAAACGCTTTGCTCAGCACCCTCATCCTCGCCCTCTCTCTGGCGTTCGCAGCGTTCCTTTGCGTCTGCCGCCCATCCTTTTGATGACCCCCCTTCAAAAGTAGTTTTCCTCCGGCAGCAGTGCCGTGCGTTCGCTTGGTCTTGACTTCGTGACCGTCGTCAGTACCGAACTCGTCGTCTGAGTACTTGGTGGAAGTGTAATGCCTCTGCGCGATGTTCCGTTTGGATTTGCTGCTTTCAAGTGGTGCATCTGTCCGTTTGTGATGTGTCTCAATGTCCTCTCCATCGCTCACTGAGCCGGTGGACATGTCTGTCTGTTTCACCTGTGCCCTGTAGCAGGACAGAGGAGTCACTGGAGAGGTACAGGTGGGATATACCTGATTGAACCACCTATAATTTGATGCTACGTCTGTATATAGGTGGTTTTGAAATAGACGTTCCACTTCTGCTCCAGGAGTGTGAAGGCTGCTTCTTCAACCAAAATTAAAACGGAAAAAAAAGCATTTAAAAAGTCCCTGGTTGATCCATCTCATACTCAGATGTCAATATGTCATTTCTAGTTTAGGAATGCTGCCATTGTTATCATGTCGTCAGACATAGCCGACCAGTAGATCTAAAGTTTAGTTCAGAATGAAGTGTGTATTCTCTGTACCTCTCTAGTACAGCAAGTCAAGTCTCTGTAAAACTGAAACCTTCCCCCTCTCTCATCCAACTAATTTAAGTGTCCTGGAATTGGCTGGGTGACAGTGTTTTCAGGAACATTTCCCCACCCCTCTCTCTCTCTCTCTCTCTCTCTCTCTCTAAACCAGAGTGATTTTTCCTGTATTTTGGCATTGGAGATGACTTGTTACTCCTTTGCTACTTATTAGGCATCGATAAACAATGTATGACTGGGACATTATCTGGAAATAAGATTATGGTGGAATTTCCCAGATGTTCTGAAATGGTTACGAAACAATAAATATTTTCTGGATCTGTAATTCCATCCTTTTCTCAGACAAGGTGTCCCGTTCGTTTACAGACGGGACAGACCAAGGCGCAGCGTGATATGCATACATGTTTATTTTCACTGAATAAACACCACGACAAAACAAGAAACGAAACGTGAAGTCCAATGTAGCGCACACACAACATACCTACACGGAACAAGATCCCACAACCCACTAGTGCCAATAGGCTGCCTAAGTATGTTCCCCAATCAGAGACAACGAGCGACAGCTGCCTCTGAATGGGAACCACACAGGCCAACATAGAAATACACATAATAGATCAAAACACAGAAAATACAACATAGAAAATCACACGCTGACTCAACAAATAAGAGTCCCCAGAGTCAGGGAGTGACACAAGGACACACTGTGACCTACTGCACTGTATTGTAATGATACGTTTATATTAGAGGTTGATTTATCTACTGGGACAGTGTCACGATCGTCTAGAACAGATGAGGACCAAGGCGCAGCGTTGCAGGCAAACATACTCTTTATTACGAGACACGATCAAAACAACAAACGATACGTGACCAGTTCACGGTCTACCATAAACAGACTAGAAACAAAATCCCACAAACACCAATGGAAAAACAGACTGTATAAATATGGCTCCCAATCAGAGACAGCCAGCAACACCTGACACTCGTTGCCTCTGATTGGGAGCCACTCTGGCCAACATAGAAATAGCACCCATAGAACCAAAACACATTGATCTACACACCCTGGCTCAACATAACAGTGTCCCCAGAGCCAGGGCGTGACAGTACCCCCCCCCTAAAGGCGCGGACTCCGCCCGCGTCAACCAAATACCACAGGGGAGGTACCGGGTGGGCACTCCGCCTAGGCGGCGGATCCGGCTCCGGGCCTTGTCCCCGCTCCCTCTCCAACCCCCCAAAGTACCCCTGGTCCGGTCTGGCCCCGCTGGCTGGAGCTGGACTGCACACTGATGGAGCGGATTGCTCTAGCTCCGGCGTAAAACATCTGACCAGTGCCGAACCAGGCACCAGTGGAACAGGCCCGGGCCGTGCCGGACTGACGACGCCCACCACTGGCTTGGTGTGGAGAACAGGCACGGACCGTGCTGGACTGACAACGCACACCAGTGGCTTGGTGCGGGGAGCAGGAACGGGCCGAGCCGGGCTGACGAAGCGCACCACTGACTTGGTGCGGGGAGCAGGAACGGGCCGAGCCGGGCTGATGAAGCGCACCACTAACTTGGTGCGGGGAGCAGGAACGGGCCGAGCCGGGCTGACGAAGCGCACCACTGACTTGGTGCGGGGAGCAGGAACGGGCCGGGCTGACGAAGCGCACCACTGACTTGGTGCGGGGAGCAGGAACGGGCCGAGCCGGGCTGACGAAGCGCACCACTGACTTGGTGCGGGGAGCAGGAACGGGCCGAGCCGGGCTGACGAAGCGCACCACTGACTTGGTGCGGGGAGCAGGAACAGACCGGACCGTACTGGGGACACACACCACTGGCCCTACACCGGGATCTGGAACGGGCCGGACCGGACTGGTAACACACCCCAGTACCTCTCGCCGTGCCTCTACACCTTCCATCCCCTCTTCGACCAGTGGCCCCCGTAACCTGGCGGCCTCCTCTGCCAACCCGCTGGACCGCTCTATCGCGGCCTCCTGCTGCCCCGACGTCGTGAGCCCCCCCCTAAAAAATTTCTGGGGGTCTCTCCTCCCCGTGGGCCAGGCCTCTATAGTTCTCGCCCAACTCTCGCTCTTCTGCCTCCAACTCCCGCTATTCAGCTCCTCAATTGGCTTGACCCAGTCGAAGCTCTTCCTCCATTGTTCCCAAGTCCACTCTCTCTGCTCTTCACTCGGCTTGACCCAGTCGAGGCTGCCACGGAGATCTGCTAGGGATTTCCCTGGCGATGGCTCCTCGACTCGCTGCTTGGTCCAGTTGTGGTGGGATTTTCTGTCACGATCGTCTAGAACAGATGAGGACCAAGGCGCAGCGTTGCAGGCAAACATACTCTTTATTACGAGAAACGATCAAAACAACAAATGATACGTGACAGTTCACGGTCTACCATAAACAGACTAGAAACAAAATCCCACAAACACCAATGAAAAAACAGACTGTATAAATATGGCTCCCAATCAGAGACAGCCAGCAACACCTGACACTCGTTGCCTCTGATTGGGAGCCACTCTGGCCAACATAGAAATAGCACCCATAGAACCAAAACACATTGATCTACACACCCTGGCTCAACATAACAGTGTCCCCAGAGCCAGGGCGTGACAGACATGGGCAAAGTGAAAACCTACTATACCATTACTGGGTGCCAAATGGCATTCCTAATCCCTACATAGTGCACTACTTTTTACCTATGTAAATCAGCCAACTCAGTGTACTGTGAACAAACACTTCCTCTTACAGCAGCCTACTTCATACACTTTGAGGTTGTTGTTGGAACGTTTTTCCTCATCCTAGTTCCTCTCAGAACATTACTCAGTTTCCTCATCCTAGTTCCTCTCAGAACATTACTCAGTTTCCTCATCCTAGTTCCTCTCAGAACATTACTCAGTTTCCTCATCTTAGTTCCTCTCAGAACATTACTCAGTTTCCTCATCCTAGTTCCTCTCAGAACATTACTCAGTTTCCTCATCCTAGTTCCTCTCAGAACATTACTCAGTTTCCTCATCCTAGCTCCTCTCAGAACATTACTCAGTTTCCTCATCCTAGTTCCTCTCAGAACATTACTCAGTTTCCTCATCTTAGTTCCTCTCAGAACATTACTCAGTTTCCTCATCCTAGTTCCTCTCAGAACATTACTCAGTTTCCTCATCCTAGCTCATCTCAGAACATTACTCAGTTTCCTCATCCTAGTTCCTCTCAGAACATTACTCAGTTTCCTCATCCTAGTTCCTCTCAGAACACTACTCAGTTTCCTCATCCTAGCTCCTCTCAGAACATTACTCAGTTTCCTCATCCTAGTTCCTCTCAGAACATTACTCAGTTTCCTCATCCTAGTTCCTCTCAGAACATTACTCAGTTTCCTCATCCTAGTTCCTCTCAGAACATTACTCAGTTTCCTCATCCTAGTTCCTCTCAGAACATTACTCAGTTTCCTCATCCTAGTTCCTCTCAGAACATTACTCAGTTTCCTCATCCTAGCTCCTCTCAGAACATTACTCAGTTTCCTCATCCTAGTTCCTCTCAGAACATTACTCAGTTTCCTCATCCTAGTTCCTCTCAGAACATTACTCAGTTTCCTCATCCTAGTTCCTCTCAGAACATTACTCAGTTTCCTCATTCTAGTTCCTCTCAGAACATTACTCAGTTTCCTCATTCTAGTTCTCTCAGAACATTACTCAGTTTCCTCATCCTAGTTCCTCTCAGAACATTACTCAGTTTCCTCATCCTAGTTCCTCTCAGAACATTACTCAGTTTCCTCATCCTATTCTCTCAGAACATTACTCAGTTTTCCTCATCCTAGTTCCTCTCAGAACATTACTTCAGTTTCCTCATCCTAGCTCCTCTCAGAAACATTACTCAGTTTTCCTCATCCTAGCTCCTCTCAGAACATTTTACTCAGTTTCCTCATCCTAGTTCCTCTCAGAACATTACTCAGTTTCCTCATCTTAGTTCCTCTCAGAACATTACTCAGTTTCCCTCATTCTAGTTCCTCTCAGAACATTACTCAGTTTCTCATCCTAGTTCCTCTCAAACATTACTCAGTTTTCCTCTCCTAGTTCCTCTCAGAACATTACTCAGTTTCCTCATTCTAGTTCCTCTCAGAACATTACTCAGTTTCCTCATCTTAGTTCCTCTCAGAACATTTATTATTTAGCTAGATGGCAGCATACAGCACAATAAAATCGACTGTGTGGTGGAATGGGAGAGAGGTACACTACTCCAGGGGTTCTCCAACGTCTCCTCGGGGACCCCCATCCCTTCCATGTATTTGAACTATTCCACAGTTAGCTCACCCTGATTCAATTTGTCAACTAATCATCAAGCCCTTGAATAGGTGACTCAACTTGTCAACTAATCATCAAGCCCTTCACTAGGTCAATCAGGTGAGCTAGTTCAGGTCTACAACAACATTGTGAAATGTCTGGTGGTCCCGCGGAGAGGTTTGAGAACCTGTGGTGTAGTGTACAGTCGTGGTCAAAAGTTTTGAGAATGACACAAATACTAATTTTCACAAAGTCTGCTGCCTCAGTTTTGATGATGGCAATTTTCATATACTCCAGAATGTCATGAAGAGTGATCAGATGAATTGCAATTAATTGCAAAGTCCCTCTTTGCCATGAAAATGAACTTAATCCCCCAAAAAACATTTCCACTGCATTTCAGCCCTACCACAAAAGGACCAGCTGCCATCATGTCAGTGATTATCTCGTTAACACAGGTGAGATTGTTGATGAGGACAAGGCTGGAGATCACTCTGTCATGCTGATTGAGTTAGAATAACAGACTGGAAGCTATAAAAGGAGGGTGGTGATTGAAATCATTGTTCTTCCTCTGTTAACCATGGTTACCTGCAAGGAAACACATGCCATCATCA